TGTGCGCGCGCACATGTGTGTGTGCGCGCGCACATGTGTGTGTGTGTGCGCACATGTGTGTGTGTGCGCGCACATGTGTGTGTGTGTGCGCGCACATGTGTGTGTGTGTGTGCGCGCGCACATGTGTGTGTGTGTGTGCGCGCACATGTGTGTGTGTGTGTGCGCGCGCACATGTGTGTGTGTGTGCGCGCGCACATGTGTGTGTGTGTGCGCGCACATGTGTGTGTGTGTGTGCGCGCACATGTGTGTGTGTGTGTGTGCGCGCACATGTGTGTGTGTGTGCGCGCACATGTGTGTGTGTGTGCGCGCACATGTGTGTGTGTGTGCGCGCGTGTGCGTGTGCGTGCGCGTGTGATAATATAAATTGTGTCATATGATAATTGGTTTAATCGGATGAAACGTTACATAGAGTGTGGTGGAGAGTACTTCGAGAAGATGTGAAGGTAAGAACTTGCTATCTGAATTTTAAATATAGTATTCTCAAAACTTTTGTAGTGACCCTCGTACGTACATATATACGGAGTAATATACGTAGTATTTGGAAAGTTCTGTAATTCTGCGGAGAGTCGATTTCAAGATTTCGACGGAAATGCACGTTTTGGTACCATAAAAGTGTTTTATCCACTTTGATTAGGTAATGTGAAACATGCTATTATAATCAGTTTCGTAATGAAGTACTTTACCGCTCTAGTGTGGTAATGAACTTCATTACCACACTAGTGCGGTAATGGCATACGAGTAGGGTTATTCTGAGACGAGCACTATTCCATGGTCTATTATTGAGAATAACAATAATTATTCAAATAATTTATTATGAAAATAACTTTGTTAACAATTTTTCAAATAATAATAATAATAATAATAATAATAATAATAATAATGTATTAATTACTTATTATATACATTAACAACAAATTTCGCGCAATTCGAAATTGTAATTACTGATGATGTTGAAGCCTGACAATTCATATTAGCATTTGAAATACTATTTTCCCCCGTAATTTTTATAGCTATTTGTTTCTTGTTTTCTACTGACGATTTCACATACCCTTCTGCAACAGAAGACGACTTCCATCCACCGTGCCTCTTCAGCATATTCATTTCAGCACCTGCATTTGCTAGTAAAGCTTGAAGCAGACGATCGCCGAAAACAACGTCCTGTAAATTTTTCAAGGTTCTACAAACCAAGATACTTTGCTATTAGCTTCGGAATGCCTCCAAAAGTATTTATTCCAACAGGTTGGCAAGTACATTTTCCATTTTTGTAAAATACAAAGAAACGATCGTTCTTGACACTTTCAGGCAGAAGGTGGAAATATTTACAAAATGTTTCTAAACAGTTAAATTCTTTAATATTGCCTTCACTAGTTACAAATTATCTCGCAATTAAAGTCTTACTGTTTGGTATATTAATTAAAATACATGTTTGTCTATCCTCTATATCACTTATTTTAAGGTTCTTGCACTCATGTCTATGGCAAGCGCCAAATATACCAATTATTAAGGTCACCTTCATCACCAAATAATTATCATCGTCAGCTTCTATTAAAAATGTATGTATGTCTTCTTTTGAAAATATCTTTGACTCTTTGTTTTATATCCTTCACTTTTCCTTTCTAAAAATGCTAACAACTGGGTAAACTCACTTATATCAATATTATCCTTAACTAATAAAGTACTCTTCAGCATAGAAAAGTGGGTTCAAAGACTACTCGGTTTTTCATTTTCTGACTTGCCGGAAAAGTAAGCCATTAAAACTTTATCTGATATGCAATGAACGATTTTGTTTTCACTCCAATCTTTAAAAATTGAGTACTCATATTTCTTATTTGATTTGTATGGTAACAAAGAATCTATAGCAGCATTTGCTGCTATTTCTATTTCTGAGTCTGAACTGCATTCACTCATGTCGAAATGTGTACTCGTACACCATGCGCGTTTCAATTGTTCTTGTTAAGAACAGTGTCACCACTTAAAGAGGAAAAATGTGAATACTAAATGAAAATTTTAATTTTAAATCTAACAAATTTTTACAAAGTGGATAAAACGTATGATTTTCGTGTCGTAACATCTGATTACAATTCTCAATTGGTTACCAAACTCGTCCTAACGGACTCCTAATTTTCCAATCTCGTATTGTAATGAGATGTATTACGATTCTAATATCGTAAATAACTATTTTTAAACGTCCATCCGTCTAGTGCCTGTGAACACTACTAGCGCCTGAACCATGCGTAAGATTTGTTCCTAATTGAAAAAACCCGTATCGCTGATGCTCGAGTCAAATCTTTGAGATTGAGTTGTTCGCTGAGATCTTTGAGATTGATCGCTGTTCTCGAGTCAAATCTTTAATTAATGCGGGTACTTTACATGAAGCCCCCCGGACATTTTTGAAATTTTCTCAAATACAGCTCCAAATATTTTCTTCAAACATTTCGAACGGATAATAGTAATTGCACTCTTTAATATGTTGTTAAGTTAATTTCGGTGTATTTTTTTTTAAATTACACCAATGTAAATTTTTGAAAGATCTCTCGCGCCGTTAATATGCACATTTCCAGCAATTTGTAAACAGTATTGTAGTTGTGAGTAAATGTGCTTCAAATGACTTTTAATGACGATTGTCGTAAACTCAAACATTTTCTGTGGAAAATGTTTTCAAATTTAGAATTTACAGTAGCGCTTAAACGCCAGTGTTTTTAAAGACTGCTCCAAATTAGATGGCAACAGGCAAGAATATGTAGAAAGTTCGAACAGCTAACCGAGACCAATGGCAATGGAAACTAATACGAGAAAGTCTGTGCCATTCTGTTGCACTACTACTTGGTATTCTCTTTCATGAGTATCACGATGATCGATTTGGTTTGAGACACTTTTCAGCCCCTTATTCGGCTATACACTTTGAAGCTCTTTTTCACAGGAATCTTTAGAGGGTTCGAAAAAGCTACATTTAAAGTTACTTGAAGCACTTTCACTCACAAATGCAACAATGTATACAAATTGCTGAAAATGTGCATAAGTGCTTGAGAGATATTTAAAAAATTCATTTGCATAATTTTCAAAGAACAAAAGAATACATCAAAATTACGTTTGTCATCATAAACAGTGTAATCAGCACAATCAGTACGAAAAGTCTGAAGAAAAATTTGAAGCCGTAATAGAGAAAGTGGCAGTTGAGCGTTTTTGAAAATGCCGAAATCTGATTGCGTTTTCACAGTATTCACTAGTAGTTTCAATGTATTCACAAGAAGCTTTATTAGACATCATTTAAAACACCTGTACTCGTAAATGCAAAAATGTGAACAAATTACTGCTAATGTACAAATTAACGACGTGACAGACTAGTCAAAATATACATATTTTTTGGAAAAATAAAAGAATAAAGCAAAATGACGTGTTTGTGTGAGTCCATTTGGCGTTTTCGCAACCAAAAGCTTAAAGAGAAAATTTGGAGCCGTTTTCGAGAAAAATCTTGTTTCTGTTATTTGTCGTACAGTATGTTGCCCAAAAAATACGGAAATTTTCAAAAAAATATGTACATGACCTTAATGAAAGAACTTAAAATGGAAAACGACATTATTTGAAAGAAAAATTTATATCTTAAATTTTTAAGTTGTAGGGAGATTGCAGAAAAACTTCAAACTTAAAATTTTGGAAAATTCAGAGTTGACCCTGAAAATGGGTCATATGCCACCTTTATTTTACTCTATTCTTACAAGAAATTTAAATAAAAATTGAGTCGTTTTTGAAAAAAAAATTGTAAATGTCACAGGGGTTATATGTAAAGTACACCTAAATTTTAAAAAATGTTTTTCAAAATCTCAAAGCTTCGACTAGAGCCAGATGGTCAGGTGTTTCTTCAATTTCGACAAACTCCTACGCATGGGTAAGGTGCTAGTTCTGTTCACAGATGGACGGACAGACGGACGGACGTTAAAAAAA